AATGTAAACATGCGCTGATGAATCATTCACAAAATGACCAGAAACCAGAACTGAGTAAACAGTCAGTCGGTGTTGATTTCTATGTATTGTGCATTAAAGCGGCCGTGTTGTGAGCTCTCATTCCTCTGGTGTTGTTTCTGTCAGTGTAAGTGTGTGATGCAGCAGCAGCTACCCCTACCGAACACACAGAAACCTCGTCTCACACTTACAGTTTTATTCTTGCAATCCAACGTGTCACAAACACATTCGCTCCCACACACACGCTTGCAAAAACACCATTACTGACACATTCAGGGTTTTTCACACCTTCTCAATGCCACAGCTGACAGCGTCGGAGAATCCGAGCAGAAACAAGGAGCAGGTGTTGAGTTCCCGTTTCCATTATCCAGGTGTCGGACGCCATGATTGGACCGGAGGATTTCTAAAAAAAAAAACAAACAAACAAAAACGCTGAGGGCCAAGAGCCGGACCGCAGAGGCTTTATAGAGACCTCAGGCCAAAAACAACACACCAGCACACAAAAAAACAAGAGCTCTGGCTCTCTGTGCTTCTGGCTTTGGCTTCAAACCCCACCCTGGAATGATGAAAAAGCCTCTGGACGTGGCCTACATCGCACCGTTCCAGGTTCCACTACGTGTTCCTCCTTGAAAACACATCGCATGACATCAGGCAGCTCTGGGTTCATGGAAAATACAGCCTCTGCTGCCATAAAGGCTTTTGGTGGGACGTTCCTGGGCAGCAGCTCAACTCGTGGTGTATTTTATTCCAGTCGTAACAGCAGATTTTTTCAGTTGCCTCCGTCTCCTGGCGGGACTCCCGCGCTGCGCTGAACTTGCCAGACTTCGCAAAAAACAGCTGCAGCTTTGGGTAAAAATAATTACACTTTTGTCTGAGAAGAGGAGGGTGCAGCGTCTGCAGACCTCGGCCTCCATTCAAACCACAAGCACCGAATTACTGCCAACTGATGAGTTTCTGCTCCAGGATCCGCTTGCATCTCTAGAACAATATTTTGTGTTGCAAGGATGGAAAAAAAATAAGTCTTCATTTACGTAATGCTCTTTACCATGCAATCAATGAAAGTGATGGAGATGCTTAGCATGCAATTAATGTTTCCATACAATAAAGGTGGAAGGTGTTAATACAACCAAGCTCCAAAAAAAAAAAAAAAGTTCATCAAATTTAGTCTTCATTTACTTAATGCCCTTTACCTTGTAATGGAGATAAATAAATAAATATGATATTTGCATATATATGCAAATAATATAATATATGCATATTTTGCATATATAAATGTTTAACATATAATTAATGTTTCCATACAATACAAATTCAAGGTGATTTATACAACCAAGCTCCACAAAAGCATAAAAATGCATCATAAACATGGTTTATACAACTAATTTTCATATCATAAAAATATAACAATCTCAAATATAAAAAAAATAAAATTTTTGAGGATGAAACTTGACTGGTTTGCATTTCTAGGAGAATGTTTTGTGTTAAAAGAATAGGAAAAAAATTAATTAATACAATTTGTCTTCATTTATTTAATGCTCTTTACATTAAAATATAATAAATAAATGTAATGGAGATAAATTAATATAATTTTTGCATACTTTCGAGATGTTTCGCATACAATTAATGTTTCCATACAATAAAAGCGTAAGGTGAATTATACAACCAAGCGCCAAAAAAAAATTAAAGCGTAAAAATGCATCATAAAAAGGTACATAATATATAAAAAATATTTATAGATTTACTTATTTAATAATATATAAAAATATGAATATTAACCATATATAACCAAGCTAAAAAAAAGCATTAAAATGCATCAAAAAAGGTTTATACAACTAATTTTCATATCATAAATCATAAAACAATCTCAAACACAAAAATGTATTAATTTTGTGGATGAAACTTGACCGGTCTGCATCTCTAGGAGAATATTTTGAGTTAAAACGATAAGAAAAATTAAGAAAATAAAATTTGTCTTCATTTACTTAATGCTATGCAATGCAAGTAATGGAGATACATTTTATATAAATATGCTTATATTTATTTATTTTTTAAATTCACTAAATATCACTCTAAAACGCCATAACATTAGTCCATATGCCTCTATGTTAGGGCTGCACGATTATGACAAAAATCATAATTGTCGATTATTCCCTTGAAATTGTAATTGTGATTATTAATTACGATTATCACAATTTACATTGATGTTTATACCATTGTTTGATGCAACTGCATGCCATATTTTTATATGAAAATAAACAAGCTGAAAAACTTTGTGCTTTTCTATAGTATTAAGCCTCAAATGTCAAATATACATCGGATTGGTTTCTTCTTTAAATTATAAAGAAAAGTTAAAATATGAATGGTATTATAATGTTATACTAAAACTAAAACAATGGAAAAACCCTTAAGATAACATGTAGAAAGAAAAAAACACATTAGAAACATTGTAATCACGATTAGAAATTCGATTAATTGTACAGCCCTACTCTATATGCACTATATTTCAAGGCTGCTGAAGAGATTTGATTCAGTTTAGGCCATTATTCGCTTCATGTGTTTCTACACTCACTCAAATGAAGCTCGTTGTGGTTTTGTAACAGAACTGACATCAAAAGTGTTTCTCACAGGTCTTGTTATTGACATCGCACTATGTTTGCATATAAGCAAATGTGAAAGAAATGTCACTAGAATGGAAGATATTCAATGCTTTGAGCACACAATGGCTTGAACTATAGTGCACGAGTTGCTGAAACCACTTGTCATTGACAACGTACTGCATTTGAATGCATGCAAATGTGAATGAAATTTCCAATCCATAGTAAAAAAGGAGAATTTTTGGTATTTTGGGCACATTATATGATTTAGAATATGAGGTTGATGCATATTTTTATATTAGAGATTTCTATATTTTTACTTTATGATATAAAATTGCTTTTTAGGAGTTTGACAGTATAAAGCATCCATTTTTATTGTATGAAAACATTTACTGTATGCTAAAACATCTCAAAATGCATGCAAAAATATGAGAATTTAATTTCAAAACCACAGTAGAAAGGAGGATTTTCAGTATTTTGAGGATACAAAACTATTAGATGGTTGAAATAAACTAAACTACTTTTAAAATGCTTTTTTGAGCTTAACCCAGCGTTATTTTTAGCATCATTGACTGTTTGTAACATTGATAATAATGTTTGTTGAGCAGCAAAGCAGCATATTAGACTGATTTCTGAAGATCATGTGACACTGAAGACTGGAGTAATGATGCTGAAAATACAGCTGCGCATCACAGAAATACATTACAGTTTAACAGAGATTCACATAGAAAAGTTATTTTACATAGTAAAAATATTTCTACATTTTTACTGTATTTTTATATCAAATAAACGCAGCCTTGATGAGCAGAAGAGACTTCTTTCAACTTACTGTAAGTATATTTTCCTTGTCGTTTTTACACTAGTGTATCATGAACGTGTGTGTGTGTGCACGAATGCACATTCATGCTGCAGGCCTGTACACACACACACACACTTCAGTCAGTGTGACAGACCATCCAGACACACAGCATGTGGTCAGTGATGAATGCAGTCAGTCTCTGTGTTTGATGAGCAGCAGCTGCGCATACAGTCAGCAGAGCAGCTCGTTTGAGTCTCGGTGGCATCAACTCAGGCATCACTGCAACCAGTGTTGGGGAAAGTTACTTTTAAAAGTAATGCATTACAATATTGCGTTACTCCATTAAAAAAAGTAACTAATGCGTTACTTTACTAGTTACTTGAAAAAAGTAATCTGATTACGAAACTCGCGTTACTTGTAATATATTACCCCCAACACTGACCGCAACACACATCAGCAATGGTTCAGAGACAGAAAACGATGTTGGGAAACACTTTAAAGGGGTCATATGATGCGATTTCAAGTTTTCCTTTCTCTTTGGAGTGTTACAAGCTGTTCGTGTTTTTAGCAACATCATATGACCCCTTTAAAGGATTCAGTGCAGAACTACATAACAATCAACCAAAACACTGGCAGTGGTAACAGACCGTAATACCATTATATATATATATATATATATATATATAGAGAGAGAGTTGATGAATGATTATCATATTCATGTACCATATTTTCACATGGTACTTCAAAGTACAAAAACTGGACAGGTACCATGTTATAACAAAATATGTTATTGCCATGATACAGTATGTTAAAAAAAAAAAAAAAGGTTTTCAGTAAAATTTAAAAAAAAAAGTTTTTTTTTTTTTTTTTTTTTTTGAATTTTTTTGGA